TGTATATGTTCATTTTAAAATTAAATAAAAATACTAACTGAAAAAAATATGTACTAATGACAACTTTAAATATAATTCCATACAGGTATAAAAGTATACTTACAATTGTTTTGTTACAATTTTTACGTGCAATTTTCCACTGTTTTGCACTATTATTTAATATTTATATGGTTCAGTTGTCTTTTCATTTATTTTAATTAGTTTATTTAATTATTTATAATTAGTTTATATATTTTTATTACTTTTAATAAGCACCATTTATAAATTATTTCACTCGCGATCAGCTTACTTTCGAATTAACGAATGGACTAATTTTGTTAGAATTTCATAACTTGCAATAACTTAACGTAACAAAGAAGAGACAGTAGTCTAGATTACAACGAAATAAAGCAAAGGTAAGCCAAAACGAAAAAAAAAACAGATATATTTAAAAACAAAACATGCAAATATGATTTGAACACCGCTTACGTGTACACTATGTGCATCAACTCCTTTAGTGACGCCTTCTTAGTAAAGGCCTTTTTAAAGTTCTTTAACAAAAGGCATGTGAATTTCTATACACCTTCTGATGGAGTGCTTTTAAAAGGCCTTTTTTTGACAAGGCCTTTTTTTGACAAGGCCTTTTTTTGACAAGGCCTTGAGTATTCTGCTACTGGGTAATAATTAACACACCGCATACAGACTTAGCTGCAACCACCCAGCGGCACCATTATGCCAGCGCTGAAAAAGTAAGCGAGGAGGTAATAGCTCTTCGTTATTATTTTTCTTTGTTTTCGACATTTGTGTTCAACTCAGGCAATTTCGGGGTTGAAATTATAAAAGAATGAATAAGAAAAGAATTTGAATATGAATAATTTCTTGTTTTATCTGCATTGTATACATTTAGTCTGCTTTTGATTTTAGTAAAGTGCGTAATATTAGTGAACAATTTTTAATTGTTAAAATCAAAATAAAATAAAAATTATAAATAAAATATAATTTGTGAATTTAAAATAAACTAACTGTAAGTATATGCAAAATTAAGTAAATATATTAAAAATGATAATTGTAATTTTTGTTTTGTATTATATAGATGCATACTGTATGTTAAGACATTATAAATGTTTGGTGAAAAAGAAAAAGGAGATTTTTTAATCATTTAAAAAAAAGGTATAAATGAAACAGGGAATTTAAATCGTGCATTTATTAAAATATTTTATTCTTTTATAGAAAATGATTTTCAAAATTTTGGTTCGTAAACAACACCTTCCTGCAGTACAGCTGAACATATTAATAGTGATATTAATAAGTTAATATTTAAATAAATTAATATGAAAATATGTTAACAATTTAATATGTAAATAAGATAATATTTAAATAAATTAACATGTAAATAATTATATATAAATAATGTAAAATGTAAATAAGTTAATAAGATATGTAAATATGTTATATTCTTTTGTGTAAATATTAATACTTTAATTTTATAAACCATAAACATAAAATATAATTTATCCCAAAAAATTTTTAGTATTTTATTTAAAAATCAATAGCATAGGTAAAATTGAAAAGGTAAGCTAACATGTCAGCGCTGATATGTTGCATTACAAATTCGAAAAAGTAAGCGAACATGTCAGCGCTGAAATGTTGAATTACAAATTTGAAAAGGTAATCGAACAATTCAGCGCTTACCTGCAATGACATGCACGTGTTAAAGTAATCAGGAGTTTCCTTTGAATAATCCATCAATATTTATTGAAGTTTTTTTGAACGAAAAATTCTGAAATTATCTCAGTTTCACATGAAGTATAAATTTTGTGATGTTATTTTAGAATATGCTTTACATTAGCCGTAATTTTTCCTTTTAGAGTAGCAAAAAAATATTCTCAACTTTCGAAAGAAAACATATGCAGCAAGAAGAATGTACTTAAAATCTTCAGAGTTAGGTTTCACTCGGAAAAATATTCACATCATAAGTTTTAGTGCACCCAGTTTCAAAAACTAGTCTATTGTGAAAATTCACTTAAATTATATTGCAAAATTCCAGTCATTCGTTAAAATTATATAAGCATTTCATTTATTAATAAATTCAAATATATAAATAAATAAATTAATTAAAATATATAAGAGAAAAATGCTAATCATTGCCTTTTTAATATTAATTTTGTTTTCTTTTATTTGAATTAAGTAAATTTTAGAGATTTCAATTTTTATATTTCATATTGTACACTACACAACAAAAAACATATGTCAAAAATAAACATTTAACTTGTAGTAAAGAATGCAATAAAATATAAGTTTTTAATAATTTTATTTAAAGAGTCTTTTCAACTAACAATTATGTTGCTTCGATAACAACGAACTTAAAACTTGAACGTATGTGTTTTTAAAAAACAGGATTGTCAAATTTTTATTTGATTTGTAATTTATTAACTTCTGTTTTTGATGATGCCACATGAGCGCCACATCACTCCCCCACCAGTGGTTGAGTAGAAACGATGCCACGTTACACGCACTTGATCCTATGTCAAAAATCTGACAGGTAATCGAATAACTCTGCCACTGGATGCGCTATGACCAGAGTTGAGCTCCTGCTGAGGTCTTCGTATAGGTTGTGCATCTGGACTTGACTGAAGTGAAATATATCGTGACAACTGTGTGTTTGATTCGATTTCTTCATTCAACAAGTAAGCCGCCTTCACTCTATCAATGCTCACTTGGACAGGTCGGTCTTTGATTAAAATGGTAATAAGCTTACGATCACGCCGTATCACTTTATATGGTCCGTCATAAGGTGATTTCAAGGGAGGTCGAACGTTATCATCCCTTAGGAACACGTGTGAACACGTCTGCAGGTCTCGTTGAACGAACGTTTTCGCTTTTGCATGATTTGAACCTGGAACCGGACGTAATTGATCCATGGTCTCCCTAAGAAAAGTTGCGAATTCGGAGTCACATCCGATGTGAGACGTCTTCTCAAAGAATTCTCCTGGAAGCTTAAGAGATGTACTATATACCATTTCCGTTGGACTAGCTTGGATGTCGTCTTTGAACACATTCCGTAAAGCCAGCAATATCAGTGGTAATTCCTCTGTCCACCTTTGATTGCACTTACACTTCAGTGCAGCTTTTAGTGTTCTATGAAATCGTTCCAGAATTCCGTTCGATTGTGGATGTCGCGAACTTGTACGTAGATGTTTAGTACCAATCAACTGCATAAGTTCAGCGAACAACTTTGATTCGAACTGCCTGCCCTGATCTGTAGTGATCTCTGAAGGAACGCCATAGTGTGAAACCCATCCCGTGATGAACGCCGCAGCTACTGTGTCTGCACTAATGTCCATAATGGGAATAACAAAAGGCCACCGGGTAAATCGATCTATGCATGTCAGGCAGTAGCTGTATCCGTCTGATGGTGGTAATGGCCCCACGATATCAAGGTGTACTGCTGCAAATCGCCGGTCAGGTGCCTTGAAGGTTCCGAGTACTGTTTTGTTGTGTCTACCTATTTTAGCTCGCTGGCATTGTGGACATGTTTTTACCATTTTTGCTACATCCCTTTTAATGTTTGGCCAGACAAATCGTTCACTGATCAGTTTTGCCGTGGCCTTGCTACCTGGATGACCTAAATTATGTATGGTGTGAAAAACTTGTCTACGAAATTCATCTGTGATCCACGGTCGCGCATGCTTTGTTGAGAAATCGCACGTAATAAGATTCGATGAACTAGGTAGATGCACCAATTTAAGCTGAAGCGAAGTCTTGCCCTGTGATATGAGTTGTTGCAGCTCCATGTCATTTCGTTGGCTCTTTGCTAACTGATCAAAGTCAATCTGCTTTTCCCCCTGTATTGATTCAATGCGTGATAGGAAATCAGCAACGCTGTTGTCTTTACCGGGAAAATGTCTGATATCAGTAGTAAACTGACCTATGTAATCCAGATGACGCAGTTGCCTGGGCGATGCTTTTTCAGGATTTTGCTGAAATGCAAAAATAATGGGTTTATGATCAGTTAACACCGTACAGTTCCTGCCTTCTACCATATGTTTGAAATGCTTAATTGCTTGATAAATGGCAAGAACTTCTCTATCATAGGTACTGTACCGTCGTTGTGTGTCAGTTAACCGTTTTGAATAAAAACCAAGTGGTTCGAGTCGGCCTTCACGAATGTGATGCAATGCAGCTCCCACCGCTGTATTACTCGCATCGACATGGAGAATGAGATTGGCTTCTGCTGTTGGGTGTGCAAGTGAACTGGCATCAGCAAGCGTTTTCTTAAAATCAACGAATGCTGATTCAGCTTCTTTTGTCCACTTAATCGGCGTTTTGTCATTTTTCCGATTTCCTATTACTAGTTTCTGCAGCTTTTCTTAAACTACCGCTGCATTAGGAATGAAACGACGATAAAAATTCACCATGGCCAAAAAACGACGAAGTTCTTGCGCACTGCTTGGCTTCGGACAATTGAGAATTGCTTCAACCCTTTCTTTTGGCGGACGAATGCCATTTTGATCAATACTGTGACCGAGAAAGATAACTTCCGTCTGAGCAAACACGCACTTGTTGATGTTGAATTTTAGACCGAATTGGTGTAAACGCTGAAACACTGTGCGAATGTGTTGAATGTGTTCAGCTTCATTCCTAGACGCGATGCAGATATCGTCTATATAACATACCGTGAAGTCCAAACCGCTAAGTACTTGGTCCATGAACCATTGAAAAGTTTGAGCTGCATTGCACAGTCCGAATGTCATCACATTAAACTCGAACAGCCCGAATGGTGTGATAATAGCAGTTTTCTTTCTGTCCTCAGGTGCTATAGGTATACTGAAGTAAGCTCGTTCCAAGTCAAGTGTGGTGAAGATAGTTTTGCCACTCAAATTCTGAGTAAAATCTTGAATGTGCGGTATCGGGTAACGATCTGGAACTGTCTGTGGATTGAGTCGTCTGTAATCTCCGCACGGCCTCCAAGTACCATTTTTCTTCTCCACCATATGTAACGGATTGGCCCATTCGCTTTTTTAAGGAGTGCATATCCCTTGATCAAGCATGTGCTGGAACTCACTTTTTGCTGCTTGCAACCTTTGTGGATTGAGCCGCCTTGGACGTGCATAGACTGGTTGCCCCGTGGTAACGATGTGATGTTGCACCGTGGTTCTTACTGCTCCAGACTTGTTATACGATGTTGGAATTGTTAGGTCTTTGAACTCTTCCAATAATTTTCGGAATGGATGATCTGCATTCACTGCGAATACTGGCTCTGGCATTTGTAACGCTGTTGCACAATGAACTTTCATATTAGTTTTGCTGTCAACGAGGAGTTTACGCTGCAAATCTACCATTAGACCGTAATATTGCAGAAAGTCAGCTCCCAGTATAGGTTTACATACATCGGCTACGACGAACTCCCAATCAAGCTTGCGCCGCAGGCCAAGATTCAACGTCATTAATTTATTTCCGTATGTGTGTATTGAAGTTCCGTTTGCTGCATACAAGAGTTTGGCAGATGCTGTCGGCTTAGTTCTGCCGAAGATTGATACGGGTAGAATTGAGAAATCTGCACCTGTGTCGATAAGGAATTTCAATTGCGTCGAGGGATCTAAAACATATAATCGGCTGGATTTGTAATAACTTTTTGCTTCGCCAACCGCCGGTGACGAAGCGGAATACAGTTTTCCATGGGTGTGAAACTGCATGGCTTGGCACACTTGCGCGCACTTGCGCCAAAACGATGATGGTAGAAACACACTGGATATTTCAATACCAGGTTTTCCGGGCGCGTTCGTGAATGTTGTGTTCGTGCCGATGTATTTGATCTACGTCGTGAGCGAAATTGGTGTTGCGACACTTTGCTGTCTCGAAACTGCTTGCTAAGTTCTTCCACAGCATTCACTACATGCCTGACATCAAAGGAAGAAGGCACAGCTGGATTGTTGCCTAAATTTCTCTCACTGGTATGCACTTCAGAAACAGAATTGTAATTTCCCATTTCCAGCATTATATCTGCTTGTTGTGCACATTTATCCAAATCGACATCAGAAATGGACACGACCGCTCGTACAGCTTCTGGTAGACGATCCAACCACAATTGTTTTATTGCGCCATCGTTCATAGTGCCACTGGACAAATCACGCATCGTTCGTAGCAAATGCGACGGCTTGTGGTCACCTAACTGACATTCTTGCATGAGCCGTCGAAGTTTGCGATTTTCTGAATCCACGAAATCTTGAATCAATCGTCTCTTGACTGCTTCATACTTATTAACGGCAGGTGGAGCACGTATGATATCGGCGATGTTCCTCAACGTGTTGCTGTCGAGACTGCCGACAACGTGGTCGTACTTCGTTTGATCCGTTGTTACGCCCGCGTTTCGAAACTGCGACTCCATTTGAATGAAATATAGATCTGGATCTCGTTTGCTGAAAGCAGGTGCTTTAACTCCTATGCGGCAAATGTCACCAGCTAGAGTGTTAATTTGCGCACTATTAACTGTCAGCATATCATTAGCATCATGTACATTATTGTCTGCTTCAGTTTGCGACATGTTTTGAGTTGTTCCGAATTTACGACTTTTATTATTAATAACTACCGTAGCACTTATTTCTAACCGTCGAGGGTCACCAATGTAGTAAAGAATGCAATAAAATATAAGTTTTTAATAATTTTATTTAAAGTTTCTTTTCAACTAACAATTATGTTGCTTCGATAACAACGAACTTAAAACTTGAACGTATGTGTTTTTAAAAAACAGGATTGTCAAATTTTTATTTGATTTGTAATTTATTAACAAAGAAGATAAAGAAAAGAAACTGAGAGGAAATTTTGAATAATGGTGCCTCTTTGTGTAATATCGCAAAGAAAATCTCTTTTACTTATTTACCATACCAGAATTGTCAAATATTAAAAACTTAAACTTAAAAAAACTTAAAGAATTGTCAAATATGGCTTATAACTTAAATATTTACTACATTTGTGGTTGCATATTAGCATGTAGCCATTTCTTCTAATTAGAAGAAATAGTATAAATTATTGTTCTTGGAAAATCCATTGTGTATATTAATACGATTATAATGAGTAAATATAGACATGATTTTTTATATCAGTTTTACTTCAATTTACATAAAAGTTTTAAATGCGCTATATAAATCAAATATAAATGAAGAATTGGTAAACTAAAATCAATAGTAAATATAAAGTAGCTATTATTGATATATGTAAATATGTATATATAATTAGTCATGAAATTGTTTTAATAAAGTTAAAAAAATTGTATCGTATTTATTAAAATAAAAGTTCTTTTAATCATGTTGCACATATATGTACGTACTATATTTATATATATGCTGAGCATCTAATAGAAAAGTTAGTATGTGTTCATACATTTCGAGTATTAGGTTGCATTGTTTTAATATTTTGTTTTAAAAAGATTAATATTAATAAAATTTTTTAAAATTCAAAAAAAGTTTGGTATATTGTAATACAATTTTTGCTTGTGCATCAAATTTTTTCAATATAGAAAATCGTAAAAATGTATATTCCGTTTACTACTACATATTTTTTGTAGTTTTAAGCAATCCTTTCAGTAAGGTGAAATGTTTTTTGTATATGAAATTCAAGAAATTCTTAACTAGTTAATAACAACATTGTAAACAATAAGGATCAATTTCATCGCATAGTGTTAGAATACCTAAGAGGTATGCTTGCTGGCGTGTTACCGAGTTTTAGGTGCTCGGTTCCCCAATAGGCCTATCCACCAAAATATTTTATTTAACAAATATACAATTTTATGTAAATACAATTTAGAATAACTTAATATACATATACAAAAAAATATTACTATTTTAAAAATATTTAATATTAAACCAAAAATAATAAGGAACTATTAAATTAAAGATAAATTATAAATAAATTTAATAAATTATAAAATTAAAACTAAAATATTTTTTGTTTAAGCAAAAAATCACTTAAAGAATATGAACACTTTTGTGCTGTTTATAAGTGTTGAAAGCATAATTGTTTATATTTAAAATTCGACACTTTATTATCTCGATTGAAATATTTTAAAATGAAGTAAATTCTTACTTTAATGAAAAAAGATAGAAGAGTTTCAATTTTGCAATTAGAGCAACATATATAGGGATGAACGTTTTCTAATTTATTAAATAAATGTTGCGCTAAACCTAATTTATAGCAATTGCTATCGAACTGATCCGAAAATTGTGATGCTAATTTTTCAATATATGTATATATAATAACAACACTCAATCAAAGTATAATTAATAATATTAATTTCTCTTCAGGATTTTTCCCTTTTTATAATTATTAGTATATCATGGAAAAAATAAAAAATAAAAGCACAACTTAATTCGTAGTTTATTATGTACACTAATTAGACACACATCTATTTACTTTATTCTACAACAATAAATTGCGTTATTTTTAATTAATAATATACCTTCGATAATCCTTTGAAAAAATATAGAGATGTTTGAAATTTAAACATCCAAGTACGCACTTCCGTTTCAATTGTAAATAAATTTTAATTAACTAATAATTCATATATTTTTCTGGAATAATTACCTTTTTTTAATGCTTTTATAATTGAAAACAAATTCCGCCTTATTTTTCTTTTAGTAATGTGGTATTTGTGCACTTAATTGCAACTTTGGCGCATTTTCTCGTAACGGATTTTTAATGTCAAAAAACCAAAACAAACAACGAAATTTCTCAGAAACCTCTCTAACTTTAGCAAATATCGTGGTGAGTAGGGACCGGGTGGGCAAAGTAGCAGGGTCCGGGTAAGGAAAATATTCACGCGCCATTATGTAGCATTAGGCTTTTTGTTATTGTACTGCGTAATATTTTCACCTCATTACACAAAATTTTTGAATATTTTTTGAATAATCCAGAAAAATTTATACACAATTTTTCGAGTAACTCTCAGTTTCTTTTCTGTATCTTCTTTGTTTATTAACTTCTGTTTTTGATGATGCCACATGAGCGTCACAAACTTGTTTAAAAAGTTGTTTCAACCAGACTTACTACTGTTTTTTTACAACTATAAAAGAAAAAATTACGGCTATTAAAAGTGACCTATCTGTGTGTAGCACCTTCATTGCAACGTCCCGAAATTTTATTCAATGGATGTTATTTTTGTATTGTATTTTAAAAAGTTATATTTATACATATAAAAATACTTACCTGGAATATTAACAAATATTTTCGTGAGACGTGTCGAAGTCACAAAGGGGTTGTTTTTTCAACCAATCAAAATTAACTATCTTACACGTAGGAAAGGTACAGAGGTGGGAAATAGAAATTGTATATTAAATGATTTGGTTGTGCAGTGTTTTCTCTAACAAATTAAGTGTTAAGGAAACTTTACTAAAGAAGTGTTCTTGAGGATAGAGATGTATTCCTCCCTTAGTAATATTCTTTTATTAGGGAGAAAAACACACGAAATTATTAAAATTTATTGGGGTCGTTCAGATTAATCTATTATGACAAGATAATATTTAAAACGCCACTAGTAAAATCGAGATTAAGGTACTAACCTTGTTGTTAATCTAAGATTTCCCATACAAAAGTTAATCTCCTTTTCGTCCAGATTGGTTTTAAATTATTTTTGTGTTATTATGATTATGTTTTTGTACACTCTGCAAATGGCTTAATATCGTAAATTTTTTACGATCTTAAAAGAAATGTCTTAATATCGTAGAATTTTCTACGATCTTAAAGAGATGTCAAAATCACGGTTTTGGTACTTTAGTACCAAAATTGGTACTTTTTTTTCCGTTTGGTACTCTGGTACTCATGTTCAAAAAATGGTACATTTTCGGAGACCCAACTTTATTGTGGATATTGTATTGTTTTATACTTTTTGTACATTTTATATAAATTGTATTTTCTTATAAAAAGACAATAGAAAAATTTTGGACCTTTTTTTACAGAAATGGTACCTTTTTAAACCAATTTTGGTACAGAAAAAAATTTTCAAGTGGCAACCGTGGTCAAAATCTATTCAAAATAAAGATTGAAAATTTGAAAACTCCGAAGTTAGTGAAATTTCTATTAAATTTGCTTAATAACAGTTTTATACATAATTCTGAATAAAATTTGTTAAATTATTGTTATAAAACTATTTTTTTTACAAAATTGTAATTAAAAACTTTATTTACAGAAATTTATCAAATGCCCCAACCAAACACAACAAAAGGAACGTCAAAAATAATCTCCAATATAAATATTAGGGGTATTGAGGCAACTGATTAGTTGCTTAGTAGTTAATTACAACAAAAATTTGCATATAAAAATGAGACTAAGCAGAGAATCAACTATTTCGGAGATTCTCAGATTAGTGAAAATTTGATTAATAGTGCTGCCAGTACCAAGTGTCGGCGCTATAAGCATAGGGTGTCTTAAAAAGAAAATGCAAAAATAATAACATAAATTAATAAATAAAATTCAGTAAAACTATAATTTTTAAAGGGTTAAAATATAATTAAAACGTATAAAATTGAATATTCTACTTCTTGATATATGACACGTTTGCAATTTTAGTTATATGATAAATTATATGACAAATTTAATTGATATTAAAATTGATGAATATTTGCGTATTTCACATACGTTTCGCATTTGCTGTTGATACGAGTGCTGCCAAAGCATTTGCACACAACAAACTAATCAGATTACGCATTTTGGGTCGTTCAAGCAACTGATTAACATCAAAATGCTATTTTTTGTTTATATGAAGTTTTTGAATCAACTAAGCAACTATTCAGTTGCCTGAATACCCCTAATGTAAACGGTGGAGATTGAAAATGCAGATTAACTTAATCTCATTCTCTTAATCTCACAATGTAAACGTAGTATAAGCGATATATTTTTCTGTTAGTATTAAATATGCAGACATTAAAAACTCAAACGTGTAAAGTGTTCAAAGGCACAAATTCCACAACAACAGTAGTAATAGATTTCATTGAAGCAATTCAATTTAATTTCTAATACTCATCTCTTATTTTCATTTTCGGGAAAACTTATAACATAGTTTATTAACAACATTAAACAACTGAATTGAATAAAACAGAATATCATAAATTGAATTTCTTCATTGATTTAACGTATAGCTCTATTATTACTGCGTTCAATTCATCAGCTATCTTGGTGAAACGTATTTTTTTATGGTAAGTGTATCACTATAACTATAACTAAAGGTAAAACATAATATTATATTCATACATTTAATTTTTTTTCAATGCAAAGGCTTTAACAGTATGTACATAACAACATATGTTAACACTACAACTATTTACAAGAAAACTAACGAGAAGTTTGCCTTTGATGGTGTCATATATTTTTACTAATGATTTTCGAAATCCCTACTTTATGTTAAATGAGAATGAAGTCACACACACACACACACACACACACACACACACACACACACACACACACACACACACACACTGCATCCCCTGCGGGATAGGGGTTAGAATATTCCCGCGGTAAGGCATGCCTGTCGTAAGAGGCGACTAAAATCCA